TCACAAAATCTTCTCCCTAAAAAAGAAGATGAGGAAATACTTCCCCATTCATTCTAGAAGGCCAGTGTTATCTTGATACCAAAACCAAACAAAAATATCACAAGAACCTGGAGCCTTCACCTAGAATGTCCTTGTGTTGATTTTGCCAGCAGGCCTCTGTTTTTCCTAACTCACCTCTTCACAGGACTCCCAGCTGTATGTGAGAATTTCAGTTGCAACTCCACAGTTTGTATGGTTCCAAAATTGCTTTCTTTCCTCTCTTGCATTCTAGGTCTCTGGTATTAACAGTTGATCTATGATCACAAAATCAATCAATCAGTCAAACAATCAATCTTGTAGCTGTGTGTGGTGATGGATGTTAACTGGACGTAGTGTGGTGATCATTTCACACTATGTTGAATAAATATGTTGTACACCTGAATTGAATGTGTTATGTGTTAGTTATATTGAATTGAATATGTTATGTGTTAGTTATATCTCAATTTAAAAAAAAATAGATAGTTGACCCCAGAACAAACTCATGGCCTAAGTCAACTTTCACAGCAATAATGCTGCAGACACACATTTCAAAATTTAGTTTCATGTAATAAGCATTTATTTCTCACACATCTGGATTCAGCTGATGTAGACTAGGTTCACTTCACATTACTGGTAAAATCTAGGTCTGCTCCTCGTATTCCTCATCTTCCATGGACCAGCAGCTGCCTGGGGCAAGTTCTTCAAGAGGGCAAGCTCTGGGGGCGCCTGGCTCAGTTGGTTAAGCATCTGCTTTCAGCTCAGGTCATGATCCCAGGGTCCTGGGATCGAGCCCCACATTGGACTCCCTATTCAGCAGGAAGTCTGCTTCTCCCTCTCCCTCTGCCTGCCACTCCCCCTGCTTGTGCTCGCAAGCTCTCTCTCTCTCTGTCAAATAAATAAAATCTTTAAAAAAAAAAAAAAAAGAGGGCAAGCTCTGTATGCAAGGACATTTTAAGCCTATGTTTACATCACATCTGCTAACATCGCTTTGGACAAAGCAAATCCCATGGCCATGCCCACGCCAAGAGAGGAGGTACTTTGCTCCTAAGGAGGTGGTGGGAAAGGAGTAAATATTTGCTGAGGAGTAGTCCAATCTACACATTCACCTTCCCACTTGAAGTTCACCTTTTCATGTTTAGTCCCCAAGAATTTCCCTTCCTTTCCTGGAAATTCAGCTCAATACTTTTGAAACATGTTTGGTATTTATCTAGCATCTAGGTGTTTGTGAATAAGGGTTTTTCAGGGTAACTTTCCCACTATACTGCTAGAAGTATACATTGCACATAGGGGTGATACAGCAAAGCTAGGACTCCCATCACGGATCTATAGACCTTCACGTCCCCTTCTCTTTTTTTATTTTTTTTAAAGATTTTATTTATTTGAGAGAGAGAACACAAGCTGGGGGGAGGGACAGAGAGAGGGAGAAGCAGGGAGTCTGATGAGGGGCTCAATCCCAGGATCCTGGGATCATGACCTGAGCTGAAGGCAGACACTTAACTGACTGAGCCACCCAGGCACCCCTCCCCTTCTCTCTCTTTTTTTTAAATTTTTTATTATTATGTTAATCACCATACATTACATCATTAGTTTTTGATGTAATGTTCCATGATTCATTATTTGTGCATAACACCCAGTGCTCCACGCAGAATTGCCCTCTTTAATACCCATCACCAGGCTAACCCATCCCCCCACCCTCCTCCCGTCTAGAACCCTCAGTTTGTTTTTCAGAATCCATTGTCTCTCATGGTTCGTCTCCCCCTCCGACTTACTCCCCTTCATTCTTCCCCTCCTGCTATCTTCTTCTTTTTCTTTTTTCTTAACATATGTTGCATTATTTGTTTCAGAAGTACAGATCTGTGATTCAACAGTCTTGCACAATTCACAGCGCTCACCATAGCACATACCCTACCCAATGTCTATCACCCAGCCACTCCATCCCTCCCACCCCCCACCACTCCAGCAACACTCAGTTTGTTTCCTGAGATTAAGAATTCCTCATATCAGTGAGGTCATATGATACATGTCTTTCTCTGATTGACTTATTTCACTCAGCATAACACCCTCCGGTTCCATCCACGTCATTGCAAATGGCAAGATCTCATTCCTTTTGACGGCTGCATAATATTCCATTGTGTATATATACCACATCTTCTTTATCCATTCATCTGTCGATGGACATCTTGGCTCTTTCCACAGTTTGGCGATTGTGGACATTGCTGCTATAAACATTGGGGTGCACGTACCCCTTCAGATCCCTACATTTGTATCTTCGTGGTAAATACCCAGTAGTGCAATTGCTGGATCGTATGGTAGCTCTATTTTCAACTGTTTGAGGAACCTCCATACTGTTTTCCAGAGTGGCTGTACCAGCTTGCATCCCCACCAACAGTGTAAGGGTTCCCCTTTCTCCACATCCTCGCCAACATTTGTTGTTCCCTGTCTTGTTAATTTTAGCCATTCTGACTGGTGTGAGGTAGTATCTCATTGTGGTTTTGATTTGTATTTCCCTGATGCCAAGTGATGTGGAGCATTTTTTCATGTGTCTGTTGGCCATTTGCATGTCTGCCCATTTCTGGACTGGATTATTTGTTTTTTGGGTGTTGAGTTTGATAAGCTCTTTATAGATCTTGGATATTATTCCTTTATCTGATATATTATTTGCAAATATCTTCTTCCATTCCATACATTGCCTTTTAGTTTTGTTACTGTTTCCTTTGCTGTGCAGAAACTTCTTATCTTGATGAATCCCAATAGTTTGTTTTTGCTTTTGTTTCCCTTGACCTTGGAGACGTGTCAAGCAAGAAGTTGCTGCGGCCAAGGTTAAAGAGGTTGCTGCCTGTGTTCTCCTCTAGGATTTTGATGGATTCCTGTCTCACATTTAGGTCTTTCATCCATTTTGAGCTTATCTCTGTGTATGGTGTAAGAAAATGGTTCTGGTTTCATTCTTCTACATTTGGCTGTCCAATTTTCCCAGCACCATTTATTGAAGAGACTGTCCTTTTCCCATTGGATATTCTTTCCTGTTTTGTCAAAGATTAGTTGACCATAAAGGGTCCATTTCCTGGTTCTCTATTCTGTTGCATTGATCTATGTGTCTGTTTTTGTGCCAGTACCATACTGTCTTGATGCTGACAGCTTTGTAATAGAGCTTGAAGTCTGGCATTGTGATGCCACCAGCTTTGGTTTTCTTTTTCAACATTCCTCTGGCTATTCAGGATTTTTTCTGGTTCCATACAAATTTTAGGATTATTTGTTCTGGCTCTGGGAAAAATGTCAATGGTATTTTGATAGGGATTGATTGAATGTGTAAATTGCTCTGGGTAGCATAGACATTGTAACAATATTCATTCTTCCAATCCATGAGCATGGAATGTTTTTCCATCTCTTTGTGTCTTCCTCAATTTCTTTCATAAGTGTTCTGTAGTTTTTAGAGTACAGACCTTTTGCCTCTTTGGTTATTATTATTTATTATTATTCCTAGGTATCTTATGGGTTTTGGTGCATCCATTCCATATTTTAAATGGTGGTCAACAGGGCACCTGGGTGGCACAGTAGGTTAAGCGTCTGACTCTTGGTTTCCGCTCAGGTCGTGAGCTCTACACTCAGCATGGGGTCTGCTTGAGATTCTCTCTCCCTCTCCCTCTGCCCCTCCTGCTTGTACGTGTGTGTACTCTCACTCTCTTTAAAATAAATAAATAAATAAATAAATAAATAAATAAATAAATAAATAAATAAATAAATATTTTAAATAATGAAATAAGTTCTGGTCATGACACTAAACTGATTTTATAACTTACCAATGGTTCACAACCTGTAGTTTGAAAAACACTGACCTAGTGAACTCCTTTAATCATCTTCTCTTCCTCATTATTAATTCTGGAATATGTCTACTTTTATCTCTTTGCAAAGGGAAAATAAACTCAGTTAAACTGTCCTTTCATCTGACTCATTATGAATTTCTCTATGGTCTGTGGTCCTAAGCCAGCCTTTGGTGCTACCTAGTTCCTTCCTACAAACCCAACACGTAATGAGCCTGCACTCTGGGCATGTGTGGCCCAGTGCCAGGGGCCAACAGGCATGCAGGCAGGTTAGTGCCCAGCTCTTGAAGAAATGATACCATTATTCAGCCTAGACAAGTACTTTGTCAACGGGTAGCCCATTGTCAAAGTTCAGTAAGCTCCTTGGAGGCCATGAGCTGATTAGTGAAGGCCTCAAGGAAGACAGATCTGAATGGGCAAAGGAAGCAAGGGGAGAAGGATCTGGGGTTTGGAGCTTTCCTCAGCAGAAGTAGGGAGCCACCAGTGATTTTTGAGCCAAGTAGATACAAAACCAGATGAAGGTTTCAGGAACGTTCGTTTGGCAAGTCCACTCAGCCTTTGTTCAGCACATATACTGTAAGTGCCCTCTATGTTGCAGGTGCCATGCTACACATTCAGAGTATTTTGGTGAACAAAACAGGCAAATATCCCTGCACTCAAGAGAACTTACACTCCAAGGGGCGCCTGGGTGGCTCAGTTGTTAAGCGTCTGCCTTCAGCTCAGGTCATGATCCCGGGTCCTGGGATCGAGACCTATGTCAGGCTCCCTTCTCAGTGGGGAGCCTGCTTCTCCCTGGCCCTCTGCCTGCCACTCCCCCTGCTTGTGCTCTCTCTCTCTCTCTCTCTCTGTCAAATAGATAAATAAAATATTAAAAAAAAAAAAAGAACTTACACTCCAGCAGTGGGGTTGGGGGCAGGGGAATCAAGCTTGTATTGTTTATTAACAATAGTGTGTGTGGAAGGTGGTAAGTACGAAGAGAAAATGAAAAGGAGAGGGTGAGGGGGTGGGGAGTGGCTCAGGTGGGATGCATCTCGCAGGGAGCCTGGAGTCCGGCAGACTGCTTGGGGCATGGCTGGGGGTGAGGAGGTGGCCTGAGCCCCAGCAGTGGCAGCAGGGAGAGCGGAGGGGCAGGAGGGCAACCTGATGCTCCTGTTTTCCTTTCAGAAACACAATGTACAATATTCGGGGCAACAGGCAGGCCCAAGGAACAGGCCACGGACCTCCAGGGGAAGATCCTCTACTGAGCGTGGAACCTTGGAGAACGGAGCAGCCCCTGCCCTCTGACCCCGGCACCCCAGGTGAGCTCTGCTTGGGTTTGGGCTGTCCTCAGAGACCAAGTGAGTGCCCTCTTTATCCTCCCCAGAAATCAGCATTTATGCTTTTTGTTTCTAACCTGAAACTCTCCAGGTCACTCCTCCTGGTTTCCATGGGTCTAGTAGCAATGGCTCCTTTTTTTACTAATATTATTGTGGTAAAATACATTTGAAATTTACCATTTTAACCAACTGTAAGTGCACAATTCAGTGACATGAAGCACGTTCACAGTGGTGTTCAATCATCACCACCATCCACTGCCAGTAATTCTTTCTCGTCTTACCAAACTGATGTTCTTCGCAACGACTCCTGAAGTAATAAAAGAAAATATATCTCACTTTTTCTTTCTTTTTTTTTTTTTAATTTAAAAAGGAAAAGATATAAAAATGCCACCCTGGGGTGATTAAAATCAGATCTGCCTGAAGAAGCAGAGCAAGTGACCTTTAGGTGTCCATCCAACTATTCCATAGAACTTTACTGTTTCACTTAAATGTGAGTGGCCCACAACATTGTTGGGGGGATGGGCTTTTTTTTTTTTTTTTTTTGGAAATTGGTATGGGTGCCCTTAGGACATTTTGTAATCTGGAAACAGTTGGAAGAAAACTGGCTGAGGCAGCACCGTGGGGTCTTCTAGCTGGAAGGACCCCTCAGCTGTATAGAAGTGGCTCCAGAAAGAGCACCCCTTTGGAGCAGTGCCCGTCGAGTCCCCGCAGATCACAGTGAACAATGCGCAAAGGACTCAGTACCCCATCGAATCAGTAGTAATGGAACCAGCACTCTTATGTAGCAGTTACTTTGTGTCATGGCTACTCTAAGCACTTTTTTCCTTTTGATAACAGTTTTATTAAGATATAATTCACATACCAAACAATTCACCCATTTGAAGTATACAATTCGCCATAACCAATTTTAGAACATGCTTATTATCCCACAAAGAAACCTCGCATCCCTCCAGCTCTAGGCAACCACTGTTCGACTTTCTGTCTCTGTGGATTTGCCCGTTCTGGATAGTTCATGTAGATGGAATCTGCAATATCTGGTCCTTTAGGACTGCTCCTGTCACCAAACAATCTTTTCAAGTTTCTTTTATGTGTACCAAGCATTTCACCTGATTTAACCTCTTTGACCCTTCCAAAAACCTGAGCAGTAGCTTCCGTTGGTCTCATTTACTAAATCAGGGAACCGAGGATAGAAAAGTAGAGTGACTGGCTCATGGCCGCACAGGGCGTGTGAAACTAGGAACTAGGGTTCAGGCCAAGGCTTTAGAAAAGCCTCATTTTCTAAAGCAGTGATTTTTCACACAACCTTTTTATTGCCATGACACTTTGACCCCCGTGAATAAAATCTAATATACAGTGCGTATCAAAGCAGCCTTGAGGCAGGGGGTGGGAGTCTGGGCTCCCCTCGGCTCCTCCTACTGTCTTCCCGTCCCAGTCAGCTCTGTGGCTCCCCATGAAATCCTACAGCACTGACAGAAAACCACTCTCCTAGGCCTCGTCTTCACCAACTGTGAAATGGGTGCAGTGATCCCTACCTTGCCTGCCCTCAGGGTCAGTGGAGAGTAGTGTTATCAGAGGGCAGCAGGGCTGCATGGAGCCCCCCTGCTCTTCTATACCCCACGGCAAGAAAGAGAAAGAAGCATTGCTGTCCTTTGAGCTCTGCAGTTGGGTTTATACCCAGTGCAACTGAATTTCTTTTAAGTCTAGGACAAAACCATTCTGTTCTTGTATTCTGCAAGGCCAGGGAGGTTCTGATTCCTACTAGAGTAGTTTCTTATCTGTTCTAGATGGTTTGGCTGGCCCCAGAAGAAACATGCTAAATTATTCTACTCATCCTGTAAGCCCTGCCTGTCCCCTCACCTGGGATTCCATACCATGTCCTTATTTTTAACACCCTAGTCCCAAAAGGACTGGGGATAGCTTATTAAAATACATATCAGGGGAAAGTAAATGAGTAATTTGGGTTAGGAAATTTAGATTAAAGACCAAGATAAGATCCTATAGAATAGCTAAGAGTGGGCAGCAGATGCGGCTCTGAGCTTCTCAGTAGCTAAGGCAAAGAGGGAAATGCAAGTGTTAGATTATTTCCAGTATCTGTAAGAATAAACACATGTTTTCTTAGAAAAAGCAAAGCCTTTTCTGGCACAGAGCATTGAGGAAAATTTCTTCTGCTGGTACCTTATAATGGGCATGATGTGTATATGTACCATGTAGACAAGATTCTCAAGGTCTTTTGACCATATAATCAGGCCATTAAAATGTCCCTGGATGCAGGGTGATGGCAGATCCCTAAAGTATAGGCTATACTTGGGGCAGGGCAAGACAAGGCATTGGGGGGTGGGTGAGTGACTGATGTTGGATTTGATTTAAGAAAAAATAAAAATAAAACAAAATAAGAAATTCAGTAATGGTTGGCAAATGTTTTCTACAGAGCCAGATAGTAAATGTTGGAGGCATTGTGGGACATATGGTCTCTGCTGCCGGTCCTCAACTCTGCCCTTGTGGAGTGAAAGCAGCACAGATAATGTACAAACGAATGTGGCCATGTTCCAATAAAACTTTATTTACAGAAGCAGGCTGTGGGCTGGATTTGGCCTGTGGACCCCTGGTTGCTGACCCTGGCTCTAGAGGAAATAGAAGGACTATGCAGCCTGGAGGCAGTCAACTGTGGGAAATGTGTGCCCTAACTTAGCTTGTAATAAGAATCCAATGAGAGTCTGACTTACTCTCTGGGGCAAGAATGCAGAATACAGATATTCCATACTCCTGTCTATGGACAGATCTCTGTACTTTGAAAATTGCCCAGAGAGTAGAGGTGGGATTCTTAAATAAGAAACAAGACATCCTGCCAGGGCTTGTGCCTGAGATGGCCCCTGGCACACAGCAGCGGTGTGGTGTGAAATAGCCCGTACAGGCGGGGATCCGAGAGTGGGGGACAGGCACACGTCAGAGGATGGGCTGAAGGACCCAGCTGGTACAGTATAAATAACGTTTATATAGCCCAAGGGTTCTCAAAGTGTGATCCCGGACCAGCTGCAGCAGCATCACCTAGGAAAGTTTTAGAAATGCAAATTCTCAAGCCCCACCCCAGACCTATTAATGAGAAGCTCTGGGAGTAGGGTACCACAGTCTGCATTTTACTGGGCCCTTCAGGTGCTTCTGCAGCAAGCTCAATTTTGAGGACCGCTGAGGCCACTGATCATAACCTCTGTGTTCCTCCTTTTGAGCAGGGAAAGATCCAGCAGATTCTCCAAAGTCTACACCCAAGTCCTCTCTGACTGCCAATCTCATTCAGAAAGCCAAGCGCCAGAACAGCACCTTTCCATTCTTTGCTGAAGGATTCACATGGACCCGAACTGCCCAGGAAAAGGTTCTAGCCTTGGAGCAGCAGGTTCTGATGCTCACCAAGGAGTTAAAGTCTCAGAAGGTGAGCTCTGGCCCCACAGAGGCCCCAAGCTCCAGTGCACACCTCTGGGCCTGGAGCCTCTGAACAAGCTAGACATGCTACATTAGCCCAGCCGGGCATGTGCCAGTCTCGGTCCTTAACAGCCAAACTGGTGGTGATGGGAAATGCTGTGCTGTTGGTTACTAAGGGCCATGTAGACACTCAGCCTAGATGACGGAACGCCTTCCAGGGCAGGATCTCTGGAACCTACTTTGTATTGCTCTTGGACTCCTAGAAGACTGTGCCTGGCCTCACCCCACACTGAAGAGAGGCAGCATTTGGAGGAGGGGGATTTGGATGCAGGGTCCTGGGAGGGGCCCCCGACGGAACTGGCAGCTTGTAACGGTGCAGAACGCTGAAGGACTGTCACAGGACAGAGAAAGCAGGCAGGTCTGTTGTAGCTCTGGGGCTCAGCCAGGCCCAATGGGATAGTGACGAGGAAGATTTAGCCTTAATAGAGAAGTTAATTATAGCAGTTAAAAAAAAGAGTGACATGGTCATTGTAGAACACAGATCACATACATACACAGGCATTAAAATCATCCCCAAATCCTACAACCCAGGGAATAAATCATGTTCGCTTTTTTGGGGCAACTTTGTAAAGTAGTGAGAATCACATGGCAGGGAGGTGAGGGGGACTGCAACCCTGGGCACAATAAAAGTAGTTAAACTAGCCCACTCCAGGGGTGGGCCCCACTGAGAACCCAGGCTTCTTTTCCTCCGAGGGGAAGGCCCAAATCTTCATGTTTGAGGTTTGGCTGCCCTCAGTCTTTTCCTGCTTTATTTCCCAGCTCTATGTACTTCTGAATAATCCCCCTCCTGTACATTTCTTGTCCTCCTTTCTGCTGCTCTGTTTTTGAAGACAGTCCAGAAAAATGTTCTCCCTACCGAGTTTTGCCCCTTCTCTGCCTTTCTTGCTCTTAAGCAGATATTAAGGGAAGCAGCAGAGACTTCCATCCTGGCAGGTCAGGGCATACATTTAATGAAGCAGCCCGTGATTAAAGTCCTCCAAGGAGGAAGCTCATTCGTTCATAGGTTCGTACTTCAGTTGTGTATTCACCAGGTCTTTGTCGAGGGCCTGTGGTGTGCACGCAGTATTCTAGGCGCTAGGAACAGTGGGAAGAGACACGGGCCCTGCCCCTGCAGAGGCTTGCATTTCATGGCAGAGACGGGTGGTAAACACCCCAACACCCATGTACAGCATTACAGCGTGTGAAGTCCCCTTTGCTGCCGCTTAGCAGCCCAGCTTCTTTTTCTTCGGTCATCTTCCCGTCCTGCGGTGGAGCTGCTGGTGCTCCTGAGAGCCCAGAGGGCATCCAGTTGGGCTGGAGTATCTGCCCAATCCCTGGACCAGTACAGTGTAAGGCCCAGACCCCACCTGGCCAGGAAAAGCAAGCTGAATGTGAACACCGCCTCTCCTTTGACCACACCTTCCCCTTCTTTCTAGGAAACCTGGGCAGCCTCCCTGGGCTTGGCCTTTGCTTCCAAGGTGTCGGGAGTTGTTCAATGAAGGAGAGAGGCCCGGGAGACCGAGATTTCCCTGAGGTTTGCCCCCAGTGGCTGTGCCGCCCTGGAGAATGTGGCATCCTCAATAAATGAAGGCAAGCTCGTGGAGATCAGTCAGGGCTCCCTAGGTGGCTAACAGCTTCCCTGCGGTCAGAGTGAAAACGTCAGGAGGAAGTTGTCCAAGCATTACAGAACCCGGACTTTCTTACTGGTTCACTTCCCAGCAAAGCTTGGTCTGGCTTGGGATCGATAGTCAGGAGGCGAGAAAGGCCTGTGGTCCCACTTTTGCCTCACCAGATGAGTGCTGTGCGTGCTCTCCAGACCATCTCGCAAGTGTGCTTTTGTCTGGTGGGCATCTTGGAGCACAGGCCTTAAAGTGGAAGGTGCCGTCCACAGTTCTGGCCCTGAGCAAGTTTCTTAACCCCTAAAGCCTCAGCTTCCTCCTCTGTCCCCGGAGTTATAGGGGTGCTTACTGCAGAGGCTTGCGTCTGGCTGCGTAAAGCCCAGTGCCTGGCACGCAGCAGCAGCCCGCCCGATGCAGGCTTTGGCTGCTATCACAGCATTCCCTGCCCTCTTAAGTTGATTCCTTCTGGCCTTAAAAGGAATGGCATGATCCTCTGAAGGGCTCTAGGAGTACAGATGGGCGCCCATGAGGGTCTCCAAGAAATGAGTGACATAGCAGCGATGGGCAGAGGTCAAGTCTTCACCCCACGTTAGGCAGGGGGAGCCCCACCCCTACCAACTCTGGCATTTTACCTCCAGCCCAGATACCAAAACCAAAGAGGGGAAGGAGAGAAGACCGACTCTTAGCCCAGAGGTAGGACAGAGGAGGCCTGCAAAACCTTGGGGTGCCCCGTGGTGTCCCAGTTGTGCAGAAATGCTAATTAGAGGACACTAACTATCCATCTGAGTCCCTCCGAGGCCAGTTCCTCAGCTGGACAGATAGTCTCCCGGACTTCCCTGGGCCCACATCTACAAGATGCCTTCCTGCATCTCTTCAGTGGAAGGTACTCTCTTTCTGCCTGAGGTTGCAGGAGGACATGGGAACTGGGAGGTCTTGTCCTGGCTCAGCCACCTGGGTGGTCATTGCCGATAGTGTTAGTGATCCTTGAAGAATTTGTATCTCAAACTCTGTCGGATGCTGTGGAGGGCACAGAGGTACACTGGGTCCCTGCTGTCAGGTGGGGAAGAACAGATAAGAGCATACATAACTGGTGTTAAGGGTGGCCCTAGCTCGTGCTTGGGCTTTCCATGCATTGCTGCTAATCCTTACAACAGTTACCAGCTCTCTTTTCTTGAGGAGCAAACTGAGGCTCTGAGAGATTCTGCATGCCCAGGGTCTCCCAGGAGCCAAGACCAGTTTCAGACTCTGGTCTGTCTGCTTCTAGAGCTTCTGCCCTTTTCACTGCCATGCTCAAGGAGCTCAGAGATGGTGGGTGACTGCCCTGAGGTCACACAGCTGGAAGAGCCAGGACTGAGGCCCTGGCCCCCTTCTCCAGGTCCAGGACTCGTCCCAGCCTCATCGCCTCCTCTGTGGTCTCCCAGGACTGCCCAGCATCAGACATGGGCACGTAACTGCTTTTCAGAAAATACGAATGCACTCATGTCTGGTGTCATATTAAACCATAGGACCACTCCAGTCCCCATTGAGCCATTATCTGTCCCAGACCCTTGCAGCATGCTGGTCCCCCAGGAGATTTGGACTCCTGGAGTTAGCACCAGATGGCTGCTTGGCTGGGTGACTCAGGCTCTCAGAGTTGACAAAATTATACCCAGCCTGAAGGCTGTCTGCTCTGGCAGATGGAAGTCCATGTTTGTAGTGATGTTGGCCATCTGTTGACTGCTGGGAATGATGAACTCTTCCCAGGCCCTCTCTGGGGCCAACTTAGCTTGCTCAAGGTAATTCGTTGAGGAAACTCATTGGGGGCAAAGTGCAGCCTCTTACTTCCCTAGAACCCCAGCCAGAGACCTCAACGTACACTCCCCTTATCCAGAGTACGGAGTACAAAGACTTCAGGGTGCACAGAGGGAGGGTCGAGAGGGGCCTGACTGTTTCCGCTTGGGGAGGGGCACTTGCCAGACTTCCTCTCTCATCCTTGAAGTGGCTGTGCCAGGAGTAGGGAGCAGGATCTCCATTTCACCTATGACAAAGCCAAAGTTTACTTTTCTTAAAACACCGTCATTAGAAACACCCTCATGGACCTGGAATGGCAAGCAAGGCCTCTGGGTCTCCAGAACCAGTGCTCCTTCACCTGCACCTGCTGGCGCCCAGCCTCCGAAGGGTCAGGGGCCGGACTGCTGGACTGAGAGTCCGGGGCTCTTTCTGCAGCAACGTTGGGCCCATCCACCTTGATCTGAGTGAGTGATGCAAGTATCAACTCTTTAATAAGGGAAAGGATTAATTTTTAGAAGGTGGTTCGTTGGCTTTTAAAATTTTGAATAATCAACTACAATGAAATTTTTTTTAATAAAATGATAACATGTGGCCAGTTAATCGAAGTCTGAAATGGGCCAAACAATGATTTGATTAAGAAATATTAGACGTACCACTTGATCAGCTCTTCTGTTTCTAAGAACGAGTCCTAAAGCAATGCTTACGGTTGTGGGAATTGGCGACAGCCGGCTGTCCCTCCTTGAGGATGGGACGAGGGCACTGAGGTGCAACCAGATGAGGAGGAGTCCCTGCACCCTTGCCGGTGGTGGCGGTGCTCAGGGACACGCCGTCGTATGTAGTAAGGCCCAGAGTAGCTTCCCTTTTGGTTTTTAATATCTCTAGATGGTGTGTATGTGCATTTGTTGTGACCTGATGCCCTCAGGCTCACCCATGTTGTAGCATGTAACAGGATTTCCTTCCGTTTTCAGGAATAATATTCCATCGTGTGTATATGCCACCTTCTGCTTATCCATTCATGGGACATGTGGGTTGGTCCCATCTCTTGGGTGTTGTGAATGATGCTGCTATGAACTTGGGTTGTTTCTATTTTTAAAGAAATGGAAAGAAGTGTTTCAGTGCAAAATCTGTTAACTACACATCATGGAGAAGTGGAGGGCCCCAGATTAGGATTGGGGGGTCCTCTGTTGTGGCAGGTTTTCCCACCTGTGAGGATCCACCAGCTTCTTTTAGTCCTCTTCATTCTCCTTTCTTGGGCTTCAGTGTCCTCCTGTGACAGCAAGCGACCTGCCTGACCAGGTGGTCTCTCCGGGCCTGCCAGCCGCCGGGTTTTCTGAATGCGAGGTCCATTCACACTCCTCATCTCGTGCTTCCTGCCCTGACTCCGTCCCTTCCCTGCTTCCTTTCTCCCTGTCTCATTCTGAAGCTGGGACTCCTGGGGTGGGGGGAGAGGCTCCCGGGCTGGAAGTAGGAAGGGGGAGGCAGCTGGATGTAATGGAATGGGCTTCAGAGTTGACTCTGCCGAAGTTGGGGGAAAGATACCTGCCTGATGCTGGGCCTCAGGAGAGCCTGAACAGTGGTGTCTGCTGGTTAATTCGCCCAGGCACTTACCAGGGTCCTCTCCAAATCTCCGCCAAACCAGAAGATGGTCTCAGCTTCTCAGTTATCCTGGAGCCACAGGAACCGTGATCTCTCCCAGCAGAGCCTGAGAAGCTAGCTCATTCCAAACATTCCAGTTTGGTTCGCAGCCACCTCCTCACCCCACCTTCCGGCCACACCCGAGAATGCCCACAGCCTCACACAGGCTCTTTCATTCCTCTGGGCCTTTGCTAGAGCTGTTGACTCAGCGCGCGTGGAAAGCCCTTCCAGCCTTCATCTTCTACCTACTGCTTGACCGTCTCTGGCCCTCCTCATTCTTCACAGATCAGCTTCAACTGTTGTGCCTTTCTGTAGAATATACTGGTCTTCCCCCACCTCCATCCCAAGGAGAAGTCATTGCTCTCTGCTCTGTATCCCCAGTAATACCCTTGCTTCCTTCTTGCAGTAAATCACTCCATTATAGTAGTTCACTTTTGCTCCCACCAGCCTTGGTGGTTTTTGAAGATGAGAACTCTGACCGATCCCCCTCTGGCCCACCAGCACCCAGCCCAGGGCCTGGCACTGAGTGGGGCTTAATAACGTTTGGATGGCTGGAGGGAAGGGAGAGAACCCAGAAGAGGGCCAGTCTGTGGTCCCCAGGTTTCAGAAATTGCATGCTAATTCGATCCTGCCATTAATTTCTCAGATAAGGTCATGATTTGGAGCAGTTCTCTTCCAAAATGGAATCATTCTTAGCAATAACCCTATCTAGCTGATTCATTTAGTTGAATACTTTGGTGTGGATACAGATAATGTGTTTCTGGAGCAGAGCAATGACCCAGAGCCCCTGCCTATCAGGTCTGAGGCTCACATGGGACTGGCTGCTGGGCTACCTGGCTTCTGATATTCTGATCCTGGCCTTAAGTGAACCCACATCCCTGCTTTGGGACAGGACAGGTCCTGGGGAGGTTGGGGGCTTGAAGGCATGGAGAGCCAAGCAGACCTAGAGTTTCCATGTGCATACAGTGCCCCTGCCAAGGAATAAATGGAAGTCTGTTGCTTCTGAGCTCTCTCCGCTTTCTTGCACAGGCCTGCAGGCATTGCTTGGTGGCCTGAGGGGTGGGGCACAGCGGACTGCGTGAGGCTCTGTGTGTGCTTTAGCCTGAGGATTGCCCATGCGTTTCCTCTCAGGTGCTCTCCCAGCTCCATCGGTAGCGACTACTTGATGCTATGTTTGGGATTCTGAGGACTCCACTAGGCTAAGCAGGAAGGAATATTGAGATGAGTCAGGTCTGCCACAGGAGCCGGAGAGAAAGGCCACGCCGGTGTGCCACAGGCCACCTTCATGACTTGGGATGATTTGGGATTGAATTCCACTCTACTCTGTGGGGCTTCAGTTTTCCCATCTCTGAAATGGACACATATCAGTCAGGGTTCAGGCTCAGCTGCTGTAACAGAGAAGCCTCCAAGCACTCTGGTCTAAAGCAATCTAGAAGTTATTTCTCTCCTGCCTTCTCGTGGAAGAACCCAGAGGTTCAGTGAGCAGTTCTGAGCTAGTAAGGCAACTGCCGTCCTCATCATACACCTTCTGCTCATGAGCCGAGGGGCTGCTCCAGCTCTTGCCATCTCCCAGCGAGAAGGAAGGGCAGTGTGCGTGGTGGTTTTAAAGGGAGGACCCAGAAGCTACCCACATAATTTCTCATATCCCATTTAGGCAGAATAGTCACCAGGCTACCCCTCGCTGCAAGCCTGGCTGGGAAATGTGGTCTTCAGCTGGAGAAAATGAGCCGGCCCGGAGGATGACGCTAGCCACCCCTCAGGGCTATTGGGAGAGTTGGTGACTGTGGCAAATGCCGAGTCCCTGGCACCTCACAGGCCTTCCCCGAGTTCACAAGGTGCTTCTTTCCTCCCCTAGGAGCTGGTGAGGATCCTGCACAAGGCGCTAGAGGCTGCCCAGCAGGAGAAGAGGGCATCCAGCGCATACCTGGCAGCGGCCGAGGACAAGGACCGGCTGGAGCTGGTGCGGCACAAGGTGCGGCAGATCGCAGAGCTGGGCAGGCGGGTGGAGGCCCTGGAGCAGGAGCGGGAGAGCCTGCTGCAGACGGCCGGCCTGCAGGAACAGCAGGTGCAGGAGCTGCGGCGGCACGTGCAGCTGCTCATGGACAAGAACCAGGCCAAACAGCAGGTCATCTGCAAGCTGTCTGAGAAGGTCACCCAGGACTTCACGCATCCCCCTATCCAGCCGCCTGGGCCCCCAGGGGCTGCCAACAGGGACTTCCTGAGCCAGCAGGAGAAGATGGAGCACCTGAAGGTAGGGGCCCCTCCCCGCAGGCCCTGGGGCCTTGGGGGGGGGGGGGGGGGGGGGGCGGCACACTGCTCTCAACCCTGAGGGTTTCCTAGATAGAGCAGGGATAACCCTTCATACTGAAATTGATACTGGTGGAAATACTGCTACATACTTCCTCACTGTCTTACCCAGAAGGTCTGGTGCAATTTGACCTTTTCATGATATCCTAGGCTAGAAAGGGAAGGTATCTCTAGATTATTATTAGAGGTGGAAGAGCACAAGATAAGGTCAGAACCCCTGAGTGCCCGACCAGCAAAGTGCCATGCTGATGCCCTGGGGAGTCCCCAAGGTGCCTGGCGGCCTCCCCTAGCACACAGTCCAGGTGATGTGGGGCCAGCAGGCCTTGCGGCTCCTCTGTGAGCCTGTGTGCTGCCCGGTGGCCACCGTCGTGGGTGCCCTGCTCGCATCATCTCATCTGATGCTCCACCAGCCCTGTGAGGCCGTCACTTGGGTGCTCCCCACTGTGGGCAGGAAGGCTGAGTCTGAGAAGGGCCTGTGTGCGGAGGGGCTGGGGAGCTGGAGCTCTCTGACTCGCATCTGCTCTGCTGCCTTCCAGTTTCTTTGGGCCTTCCCTCCTGCCGCCTCCCCTACCTCCCCCTGGCACAGGCAGTGGCTCTCACGTGGGGAGGCAGCGCCCTCCCGGAGACCAATTGCAGCTCAGGGAGCAGGAACTTAATTTTATGTGTGATGCCTGCCATGGTGACAGGAGCTGCCGGGCCACCTGAAGGCCTGAGGCTGGGGATCAGTGCTCATAACCCCCACTGTCCTTAAAGGCAGCTGTATAACCACGGCCGGTCCTGCCCCAAACCCCACCACGCGCAGCCGCACATGTATACATATGTACGTATAACCAGGGGAGCGTCCTTGCCATGGGACCAAAGCATTGCTGCTGGAAGAGGGGAAGCAGAAGGAGAAAAAGAAAACTCCAGATGCATTTGAAAGACCAGTGGGCAGTGTGGTACAGTGGCCCCTGCCCCAGCTGTGAAGTCAGGCATAGGTTTGGACCCAGGCTCTGCCTTCTGCTAGCTGTGTGACCTCAGGCAAGGCCCCTCACCTCTCTTTAAAAATGGCCTCACTGTTCCTACTCACGAGGTTGACGGGGGGTGAAGGAAGACAACATGAAACCCAGATCCCTCCTGTTTCCTTCCGCATGAAAAACCACATAACCAGTCTTTGAATCTTTTCCCTTTAAAATCAGATTCTTTTGAGTTCAAAATGAAAACAAAATCATTTCAAATGCAGATGGAGTGAGGCTGGGGCTGGAAAATTGCTTTCATCAGATTGCTTCACTACCCTCCTCTGCCCTGCTAACTAAGAATCTTCTGTCTGTGCCTATCCTGCTGGAATCCACAGGTGAAGACCCCGTAGAGCAGCTCGGGGGTCAGAGAAATAGATCTGTTCGGTGCTGCCAGGAGCCGACTGGAAGCCTGGTCTCGCCGTAGGAGACAGAGTGTGCCCCTGGCTTTGTATGTTCAGGAATTTATCAGTGAGCCCAAACAGAGGAAATTCCTATCAACCAAACTTACCTTGCTGCTGATCCTCAGAGGCCCAGTGTTTGTGTCAGAAAGAATTGCATGTGCTCGAGTTCCTCGTTTGTTAGCCTTTACATGTCTGATCTAGAAAAATAGAAGACTCCTCCAAAATCCATAGTCTTTCCATTTGAGGACAGAGCAATGTTCACATCTCCCCCTTGCCCTGGGATGGAGGATATGCGACTTTAGGGAAATGCCCCCCTTGTTGAAGCTGCCAATTTGAGAACAGAATCATTGACCTCCTGAATATCAGAGCTGGGAAGACTCAGAGATCTAGTCTTTGACATTTTCTGGCAGGGACAGCTGAGCCCAGACAGGGGTCCAGGGTCCCATAGCACAAGCAGCAGGGTTGCAGCTAGGCCCGAGGTCTCCCCACATGCAATCCACTGCCTTCCCTACTAGCACAGGGGCTAGTCCATGCGGCGTTTCCCAAAGAGAATTCACGGGCTCCTGATCCCTATGAAGACAGGCAGGCAGACTCTCTCCTTCCTGTCTGCTTTCCCTAGCTGTGTTTTCCTCCTTTGCTTGCCGGTGACTGTCATGTGGCTTTCCTTTCTCTGAGCTCTCTCTCTTTTTCCTCCCTACAGTCCTGAGCCACGATGAACACTCAAGGTAGGGCGATGAGGTGCTCCAGGGGGTGCTCACACATGCCCTCGCCGTCTGGGCTGCAGGCAGGGTGCCCCTGGCCATATGTCCAAAGCCTTGGAAATGCCAGGGAGCATCTCAGGGTCTGGGGTGAGGACGCAGGGACGGTAACAGGAGGCAGAACGGAGCGGCCATGTAGAGCAGCAGACTCTGCTGATGCGCTTTCACCCAGCAGTAGTTTTCCATTCCCCTGTGGACCGCACACACCTGGCTTGCATCCTGCCTCTCTCGTGTTCTAGGCAGGTGACTGAGGAGGACTTACCCTCTCTGTACTTGTTTCCACATCTGTAAAGTGGGAACGATGGTACTTTAATATGTAGTGCACAGCATGGTGGAGATAAATTAACACATAATAATGTGTGGGAGGGAAACGAGTCTGGCACATAGTAGGACCTCAGGCAATGGGTCGCTGTCTTCCTCCCTTGCCTGGAAGTGTGTTGTATTTTCTCAGGCGTTTGGGAAGAATGCACAACAGCATCATATCAAAAACAATTTACAGTAATTAACTCATAGTATGGTAGTATCCAGTCAATGTTAAAATTTCCCAATTGATTTATAAATGTTATAAATAGCTTTGGGGTTCTTTTATATAATCTTTTTAAATAAATAAAATAAATCCATGAAAAAAAAGAACGCACAACAGCAGCAGTGGGAAGTCTCTGGGCGGGGGCAGGAGGAACACAGCAGGTGACAGTAGTTCTCCAGGTGCCCGGAGAACCCAGAGAAGGAGGTGACACTTGTGCTCACCAGCCACCATTCTCAGCCTTTTGCATGTATTGACTAATCACATCCTCCCAAGAGTGCCTGAGGCCATACTGTTATTGTTCCTGGTTTCCAGGTGAGGGGAGGAGGCCCAGAAAGGGTGAGGAACTCGTGCTGGGCTCAGTGGTGAAGGCAGGATTTCTATCCAGGCAACAGGGCCCCAGGGCCCTGGGCCCACTCCCTGACCACTAGGCAGCGCCAGCGTCTCTGCTGTGGTGTTACTGTACTCGAGGGTCTGAGGGGTCAGACAGGCCTGCATGCAGCCAGCCAGACTGCTGAGCACAACCGCTGAAGGGTGGGACTAGACGTTTGGCGTCCAGGTGGATGCCAGCGGGGGCAGAGCTTGTGGAGGATCTAGGCTGTAAGTGCAGTGGTTGGACGTGGCTTTTGAATCAGACACATCTGGGCTCAGTCACCCCTGGTCTCGTAGAGCTGTGTGACCTCAGACAACGTACTTGTCCTTTCAGAGCCTCGGAGACTGCATCTGAGTTCCTTTCAGGGCTGCCGGGGAGATGGAGTGGGATGATGTACTCAGCGCGGGGCCGGGGCACAGGGTGATGGTGCAGGGGGCCTGCGCAGCTTCTGTGTTCATAAATCTGTGAGTCTCCAGACACCCAAACGGAAGACTATCACGGGCAGGGGGAGTGGGCCTAGAAAATCCTGATGTCCACAGGTGGTGGGTCCTCGGGCTGCAAACTGAGGGTTCACACCAGGCTCACCACCCTTCCACCTAAGGGTAAGAAAATGGGGGCCGCAGAGAGGAAGCAGGCAGATGCTTGTGCAGAAGAGCGGCTGGTACGCCCTGGCAGCATTTCTGAGAAAAGGGAGCCCAGAGTTTGACCTAAGGGAGACATGGCGGGAAAGTAGGAGGAAGTCCAGGCTAGGGAGTTGGAACTACCTGGGTCCAGGCCGGGTGGAGAGAGCAGAGAGCGAGCTCAGCCTGAGGACACGAAGCCTGGCAGCCCGGGCACAGTGAGGGATGCAGAAGCAGGGGTGGCCAGGGCAGGAGACACCTTGGACAGCCCCAGTGGGGTGGTGAGAGGCCATGTGTTGAAGCCAGCCAGGGGCTTTTATTTCTAGCTAAGGAACCCTGGGAGCATGTGGCCCTCCCACTGGATCAGCCATCTAGGCAGAAGGCAGCAGACCCTGGGTTTGAATTGGAGCTTCTGGGCTGGGAAGGATCTTGGCCAGGATGCAGGCCCACCCCGGGAGGGTCAAGACGGCCTGTGAGCTGTGTACATGAGACCCATCCCTGATAATGAGGTGCCACAGTCATCACAGGTATGATGCTCTTAATTTCCAGATAAATCAGGGCTATCCAAGGTCACGCCTTGCAATAGTGTCTCTCTCATGCACTTACAGCCCAGTACATTTCTTGAGTGGGAGCAAAAGGGGTTGAGTTTCAGCTAGTGAATGTCCTGGAATTGCTAGGTATAGCTGTGAACATGCATTGTCCATTGCTTCTGGAATGTCCATCCCAGTGGAATGAAGGTTGAGGGCCAGTGCTGTGGTTGCTCCTTTCTGAGGCTCAAGCAGAAGCTTGAGCCTCCCCAGTGCTTGGCCAGCTTCTCCTCAAATGCCCCAGCAGCAGGATCTCACTCCGTCCACTGGACAGCTTGCAAAAGGAAAACTCTAGGTGCAGAGATGCGCATCACAGCATTATTCATAAACAAAAACCAACCGAAAACATTCAGGGCTCAAATAAAAAATAACAGGGAAAGGATTATAACTAAGGTATAGTAAATTCACCCAACAGAATAGTCATCAGACATTAAAAATGTTGGGAAGCTTATGTAACATAGAGTACAGTTGACCCTTGAACAACACGGGTTTGAACTGCACGGATCCACTTACAGGCAGTTTTTTTCTGATAAATACGGTATAGTTCTGTTAATGTATTTTCTCTTTATGATTTTCTTAGTATTTTTTTTTCTCTAGCTTACTTTATTGTAAGAATACAGTATATACTACACATAGCATATGAAATGTGTGCTAATTGGCTCTTTGTTCTCAGGAAGGCTTCGGTCAACAGTAGGTGATTAGCATTTAAATTTGGGGGGATAGTCAAAAGTTATATACAGATTTTCCACTGTGCAGCGGGGGTGGGGTTCAGCACCCCTAACCCCAGTGTTGTTGAAGGGCCATTGTATTTACAAGGTGATATTAAGTAAAAAATTTTCCCTCAAAATTGTTCAGTATGATTGCAAATATGTGAAAACATATTTATTTTTAAAACAAACACTACTTGGATGTTTGTTTGTTTTGTTCTCCATACTTAGTGTTATGACACATGTTACCTCAGGTCATCTCCCAGCTGCCCAATGGAGTAGTATTTGTCCCTTTTACAGATGAGAAAACAGAGGGTCAGAGTTGTTCAGTGAAACCTCCCAGCCAGGAAGTCAGAACCACAACTTGAACTCCAGGCTTGACGCCCTCTCTATTGTATCATGCTGGGATCAAGATTAGTGAAGGGGGCTGTCTGTAATACTACTTCTTTTAGACTTTCTCTTCTGTTGTCATTATTAGAAATTTCTAAAGGAAAAAAGTATTGGCAGCTCATTTGAGGGTGAGGATGAGGGAGATGTTTATGGTGCAACTCATCAAATGCTTTGCTCTCTTCTCCAGGATGACATGGAAGCATATCGGACCCAGAACCGCTTCCTCAACTCCGAGATCCACCAGGTCACAAAGATCTGGAGAAGGGTGGCTGAAAAGGAAAGGGCCCTCCTGATGAAGGTAAGAGGCAGAGTCCATCTCCATGCCCAGCCACCCTTCGGGTCCTCACCTTCTTGCCCCGTATCACTCTCTCCTTACCACCTGCACTACCTCTGGACTGTGCCCTCTACGAGCTGCCTTTCCAGCCTCAGGCATCTGTGCTCTGATTGCTGCTTCTGATCACAGAAATGCAGAGGAGGAGGCTGGCAGTCATCTCTGCACCTCCCCTACCAGCTAGAGTAACTTCCAGAGGATTCAAAGGGCTGCCACTCTTCCCCTCCCCCCTTCATTTCTTTCTTTTTTTCCCCTCCTGTTTGGGAGCCAGATATTAAAGACTAGATATTCCAAAACAGCTTCATATATGGGGAAATTAGAAAGTGTCCATGCACATCCAGGGAAAGACTCAGAAAAGACTTGAGAGCTTAAGTTTACATCTTAGGCTACCCTTGGCACAGAGACAGCCTATAACAATCAAAAAACAAAAACAAATTTTTCTCGAATTGGGAGAATCTGATTTCTAGTGTTCAGATGTCCAGTTTTCAACAAAAAAAATCTCAGGGCATACAAAGATACATGAAAGTATGACCCATTTGAAGGAAAAACATAAATCAATAGAAAACTGCCCCTGAAAAAGACATGGTACTGGGTAATACTAGACAAAGACTTTATTTTTTTTTTAAAGATTTTATTTATTTATTTGACAGAGAGAGACACAGCGAGAGAGGGAACACAAGCAGGGGGAGTGGGAGAGGGAGAAGCAGGCTTCCCGCTGAGCAGGGAGCCTGATGTGGGGCTCGATCCCAGGACCCTGGGATCATGACCTGAGCTGAAGGCAGATGCTTAACGACAGAACCATCCAGGTGCCCTAGACAAAGACTTTAAAACAGTTGTCTTAAAGATGCTCAAAGAACTAAAGGAAGAAGTGGAGAGTCAAGAAAGCAATGCATGAACAAAACTGAAATATCAGAGAGTTAGAAAACCTACAAAGAAACCCCCCACCAAAAACAATTTCTGGAGCTGAAAAGTACAATAACTGAAATGAAAGATTCACCAGAGGGATTCAAAGGCAGATTCAAGCAGGCAAAAGGAATCAGTGGACTTGAAGATAGGACAGTGGAAATTATTCAGTCTGAGAAACAGAAAGAAAAAAGCTTGAAGAAAAGTGAACAGAGCCTAAGTGATCTGTGAGACCCCATTAAGCAGACCAACATGCCCATTATAGTATGGTTGTCCCAGAAGAAGAAAGAGAGAAAGGGGCAGAGAGAATATGAGAAGAAATAAAGGCCGAAAACGTCCCAAATTTGATGAAGACATGAATAAAAACAACCAAGAAGCTCAACAAACTTGGAGTAAGATAAACCTGAAGAACTAGAAAAAGAAGAACTAAACCCGAAACTAGCTGATGGAAGGAAATAATAAAGATCAGAGCAGAAATCAATGAAATAGATAACAGAAAAATAATAGAAAATCAATGAAACCAAAGTTGATTTTTTGAAAAGAGGATCAAAACTGACAAACCTTAAGCTAGGTGGACTAAGGAAAGAAAGAGAGAGGACTCAAAATCAGAAATGAAAGGGGCACATTACTACTGATTCTGCAGAAATAAAAAGGATTGTAAGAGTACTATGAACAGGGGCGCCTGGGTGGCTCAGTCGGTTAAGCGTCTGCCTTCCGCTCAGGTCACGATCGCAGGGTCTTGGGATTGAGCCCCGTGTTGGGCTCCCTGCTTGGTGAGAGCCTGCTTCTCCCTCTCCCTCTGCCTGCCACTCTGCCTACCTGTGCTCTCTCTCTCTCTCTGTCAAATAAATAAATAAAATCTTTAAAAAAAAAAAGTACTATGAGCAATCGTATACCAGCAAATTGGATCACCAGATGAAATGGATAAATCCCTAGAAACACAAAGCCTGCCAAGACTAAATCATGAAGAAATAAAAATCTGAATAAACCTAAAACTAGTAAGGAGACTGAATTAGCAATCAGAAATCTCTCAACAAAGAAAAGCCCTGGACCTGCTTTACTGGTGAATTCAACTGAACATTTAAAGAAGAACTAACAAGAGGCCTTCTCAGACTTTTCAAGGAGGGTGCACGCAGACTAGTGAGGGAGTCAAACACAATCAAGCTGCAGTTGGGCACACAGGATTCTTTGGGGCCCAAAGAGAGGAAGAAAGTCAGGGAGGGCTTCCTGGTGGGGGTACCTTCTTCAGCTGAGTCCTAAAAGTGAGTTAGTGTTATCCAGGCAAACAGAGTAGAAAAAGGCCTTCCAAGAAAAGAGATAGCATAGTCAAGACCTGTGGATCAAGAGGTGGGGGAAGGTGGGGAGGGAGATGTGAGGCTGGAGGGGAGGAACTTTGGGACATTCTCTGAGGAAACTGGGAGTTGTAGAAGGGTTTTGAGTGCGGAGGCCCTCAATCAGACTTATGTTTTGAGAAAGCTGGGGGCTCGGTGGGCTTGTGGAGGTGGGCCGGGGAGCACAGAGACTTGGGAGTCTGTAACAGAAGTGCCTGAGAGGAGTACTGGGAGGGGACTCGGGAAGGTGGCAGAGGGACGTAGATGTGGGAGCCAGCTGGAGGGGGAGGAGCGCAGGCTCACCCGATGGCCTGGAGTTGGTGCTCAGCCAACGTTTGGAGAGTGCAGCACAGTGGCAGCCTTGGCCAGGAGGCTTGCACTCTTCCACCCCAGGATGAGACAGGAGCCAGGCTGGCCCGGAGGGCATGGTGATGTGCTGAGGCCGATTCTTCCTGTCCAGCTTCCACAGAAGGAAAGTGGGCCCAGGAAAATTACCGGACTTGCTCACCACACCCGGCTTATGGAAAGAGAAACACAGAAGGTCAAGACAGGGGCAGGGAGTACACAGGAAGGACACCGGTGGGAGAGAGGCGGTGTGTCAGAGGAATGGAGAGAGCCGATATCGCAGAGGCAGAAGGCACAGGGGCCGTGGCCAGAGCCATGTGGCCATCTCGTGGGCGCTGCTCAGTGTTACCACCTACAGAGAACTGCTCTAGGCCAGGTGCCCTGGGAGGGCCTTTACACACATCCGCTCATCTAATCCTCACCAGAGTCCTGGGGCAGACTCTCTATTATTTCCATTGTTTAGATGAAGAAGCTAAGGCACAGAGAGGCTAAGTAACTTGCCGTACGTCCCCCAGCCAGCAGTGGCTGAAGCAGGATGGGACTTGCAGTTCCCAGCAAGAACCTGCACTGCCCGTGCCCACCTCTCACCTCTTTCTTCTGAATCCAGCTGCAGACCTGGGCCTGGCTCTCTTGCCTGGCTCTCTTGCCTGGAGCCTCTTCTATATATATATATATATATAGCCCCTTGCTATAAACCCTTGGGTTTCGGGCTCGTCTCCTTTCCCTTAGATGATGGGCTGGGGGTGGGAAGGGGATGGGAGATGAGGTTGGAGAAGGACTTTGCTGCCTATAGCTGTTCAGACCTCTGGGGCTGGCGGGGGCAAGCCCAAGCAGCTGGCCTGACAGCCCCACCCCTCCCTCCACAGTGTGCCTACCTCCAAGCCAAGAACTGCCAGGTGGAGAGCAAGTACCTGGCCGGGCTGCGGAGGCTACAGGAGGCCTTGGGGGGTGAGGCCACTGAGTGCTCAGAGCTGCTGAAGCAGCTTATCCAGGAGGCGCTACAGTGGGAAGCCGGGGAGGCCTCAGCCGATGGCGTGGAGCTGAGCCCTATCAGGTGAGCCCAACAGCCAATGAGGGTGGGTCTTGGTCTGCATGACCTGAAGGTCCCCAGCCCCCCTGGTGCTGGCTCCTGCTGACCGCGTACAAGCACTGCACGTTCCTTACTTTCTCGTATCTTCAGACAAATGAGCACGTGCTTGGGATGAGCCCCATATTACAGTTGAGGTGATGCAGGCTCAGAGGAGGCTGCCCCTTGCCCAAGGTCATGCAGCATATTCATGCAGCTGACCTGGGTCTGCCTCCAGAGCTCCATTTTTTTCACTTCCCAAGGCTGCCTCCCCGAGATGTTTGTCAGAGGGGGGAGGAGGGGAGAAAGCCAGCTGTCTTCCCTGAGCCAAGTCCTTGCTGAGCACAGTGAACATGGGCAGTTAAATATAACAGAAGGGGCTGTGGCTTGGGTCAAAAGGCCCCCGGAGGCTGGGTGGCCCAGGGGAAGGAGCCCAGGCTTTGGAGCCGGACTGGGCTCTCTCACTATGTGACCTTGGACAAGTCACTTTACCTTTCTGGGCCACATATTCAGCCTCTGTCAGATGTGGGCTAAGATCCCCGCTTTGCAGGATCAGTAGGACTAAATGAGACAGCACATGCAGAGCACACAGTAAGGGCAAATAACTGTGGAATCAGTAAAAGGCCATCTGGATTGGACCTCTGGTTCTCCCATCTTGCTTGTCATTGATGCTGCCTGCTCCCCATCCATCCTTGGGCTTACTCTCTGTGCAGGTGGGATTCTATATTGGCAGTGCCGACTGCTTGAGCCTAAGGCTTCATGGAGTAATAAGAGGGTCCTTTATATTTGCACTGAACGCACTTACCATGCACTTATGAGGCACCAGGCACTGTCTAGGCCCCCAGCATTTTACAACAGAGGAGGTCAGTGGGTCTTCATGAGGCAGAACAGGAATTCTTCTACCCATTGTAAAGAAGAGCAAACTGCAGTTCAGAGAACTGACGTGACCTGCCCAAAGCTGCATGACTAACCCACAGTGAAGCCCAGGCAGGAACTTTGCCTGGGGTCCCCCCTCCCCCTCCCTGCCCTGCCCCTTTTCCAGGGAAGGGCTGTACAATGTGCTGCTAACGTAGGCTTTTGCTGGCAGTGAGTATGATGAGTATGGCTTCCTGACGGTGCCCAACTACGAGATGGAAGACCTGAAGCTGCTGGCCAAGATCCAGGCACTAGAGGTGCACTCCCATCACCTGCTGGCCCATGAGGCCGTGGAGCGGCCGCTGCGGGAGCGCTGGGCTGCCCTGGGTGATCTTGCACCCTCGGTCGAGCTCAAGCAGCTGCTGCGGGCAGGTGTGCCCCGAGAGCACCGGCCACGTGTCTGGAGGTGGCTGATCCACCTCCGCGTCCAGCATCTGCGGAGCCCCGGCCGCTACCAGGAGCTGCTGAACCGGGGCCAGGTCCGCGAGCATCCTGCCACCCGCCAGATTGAGCTGGACCTGAACCGTACCTTCCCCAACAACAAGCACTTCACCTGTCCCACCTCCAGCTTCCCCGACAAGCTACGCCGGGTGCTACTGGCCTTTTCCTGGCAGAACCCCACCATTGGCTACTGCCAGGGCCTGAACAGGTAAGCATCAGAGCCCTAGTGAGGGCACAAGGTTCTTTAGAGCCTCCCGAGAACCTAGAGAGGTGAGTCTGGGAGGCTTGATTCCCACCATACAGATGGGAACAACATGGACATGTTCAAGATGGGGGGGGGGCTCCTCATGCTATGTTCTCTCTTTTGACTTGTGCTCAGGGCGGTACCACTCATACAGAGAGCCTTGTGAATGGTCCCCTGGAATTTTGTAGTGCACAGCTCAGCTCACATATTGCAGAACTGCCTGGGTCAAGGATCATTTACTTTAAACAAAACCCATCAAGGGAGCCCGAGAAAAAGAGAATTGGTAAATGCCACAAGAGGGGTTCATAAAAGCCAGGAAAAGAAAATAGAGGACAAGGCCAGATGGTCGTTAGAAACCGAGGCATCTCCTCTCTCCAGCAGGGCCACAGCACTACACAACCCCAGGGGTGCCATGGGGACAGTCCCTGAGGCTGGGCAGCACCACGGTCCTGCTCTGCAGCCCCCCTGTGGGGCCGCACCATCTCTGGCCTCTCTCATTCTACATGTCTGCTTCCTTTTTCCAGCAGACCAGCATCTGTCCGTCATTCCTTGGACATTTAGGACCCTCGAGGCTGTCAGAATGGAGACCTCAGTCCCTGAGTCTGGAACCTTTTCAGCAAATCTTCCCACTTGTTGACACTCTCATGTTCCAGGCCGAAATTCCCAAAGGAAGGAATGTGATTGGCCCAGCCTGGATTCATTTCTGCTTCTGGTCTAACAGCAGGACAGAGGGGATTGGGGGTGGAGGTGAGATGGGGTGAGCTGCTAGGGCTGCTCTCTCCACTACCTCAGGACTCTCATGGGTGCCCCCCAGCTATCTCGATAGAGGTTACATAATTTCAGATACTCCCCAAAGCAAGTTTTGACTCACTTAAATTTAAGTACACATATACTCAAGCAAAATTTACATAAGACATTCTGCTCCCTCCCCCCAGTAGGTGGTGTGTGACATTTATTTAACACAGAATAAGCATTCAGGGAGTCCCTACTCAAATTTGAATGATTCCTAAGGGTAGAGATTTTTGATACTGACTTCCAGCCTAAATTGGGTGAAATTGAGCATATATACATGTTCAGTTACTGGAAATTCAGAGTTAAACTACAGCACAGCTAATCTAAGGGGGGACAAGGGGAAATCCTATAGTGGGAAGGGTCTTGAGATAAACCTCCCAGAAGGAAAGAAGCTTCTCCCTGTGTGGAAAAAGGCAGCACAAATGCTGTGGGGGGATATATAGGAAAAACAGATGGAAAGAGGGAGGTGACACCCAGGAGTATTTCTTTAACTCTTTCTCTGAATGCTTTTTTCTTTCTTTCTTTTTTTACTGATAATTGACGTTTAGGCAAATATTCATCTTATTGCTTAAAATCGAAAGTTACTTGTAATGGGAAGAGCCCCTTCACGTGTAGAGAGTGGGGCCCTTCAACCCCACCCTGCGGGCCCCTTTCACTTGTCTGAGCACCGCCACCTAATGGCAGCCGGTAGCACTGCGTGCATGGTGTCAAGACAGACCCTGCTTCCGTGCAACAAATCAGTCTGTTTAGAGGGTGACAGATATCATAGTAATGATACAGTGCTAATTTAGGGCAAAAACTTTAAAGCCAATAATCTTTAAAATATAAGTGGAGGGCATTAGAAGTAGCTGTTTCTTTCCCACATCACCACGCTACCTCCTTTGCAGACCCACTTGAGCCTGAATGCCTTAGGTTGGAGTCTGGCTGCAGCCCTGAGCAGTTGGTAAGCCCTAGTTGGTACCAGCAGACTCTCACTACTGACCTTGCAATGTGTGCAGAAATCTATGCTGGTGCCGGCAGCCAGCTCCTGGACCGAGCACGTCCTGAGGCTCCAGTGGGATAGGGTAGGGTCGAGAGAACACCAGGCTGGACTTTGGGAGCCCTGGGTTCTATCTCCACCCTGCCACCAACTAACTGTGTGACCCTGAGCAAGTGACTTCTGCTTTCCAGGACTCGGTCTTCCTCTCTGCAATAAGTTTATCTAGACCAGGGTTACCAGTAGGAAGAACCTGCCTGGAGCCTTGTCTTGTGAGTAACTGAGGCAGCCTCCAGAGTCAGCGGGAAAGAGCACAATGATTAATTAGTTATGTCTGCCCCGGACATAGACAAAGGGAATGTTGTCATGATTCACTAGTTATGTCTGCCCTGGCATAGGCAAAAGAGAGTGGTGGTCAGTGTTTCACACATTTGCTATCCCTGAACTAAATGACCTCAGAAGACCCCCTTCCCCAGCTTTGAGAGGGGAGAGCTTCCTATTTCCTAAGAGACCTGTGACTCTTCCTTTCGTCCACTCAGCTCAGACTCAGGAGGGTTTGTACAAATATTTTAGAGTGGAAAGAAATTCCTTCCCAATCTACTGGGGAGAGAAAAGGGGTTTCTTTTTTCTTTTGAGAATTGACCCTCTTTCTTTAAACAGTGTGAACCTCGGGAGAGGTTGGAGATCATGAATCCAGTCTAGTAAGAGCCCAGAGAAGGATAAATAGCTGGACAATGAAATGTGTTCTTTAAGCCCATCAAGAGTGTGAGGCTTCACAATACTATAAGGTGGCATCTCCCTAACGGTGTTCAGTGGGTGCCCTGTACAAAAGGGGCTCCATAATTCCACTGGACAGCCTTGGGTTAGAGTCACTGCAGAACTTCTGCAGAGGCTTTTAGTAAGATGTTGTATATCATCAGCCTCTAAAAGGGGGCTAGAGGGGCGCCTGGGTGGCACCCAGTCAGTCATTAGGTGTCTGCCTTCGGCTCAGGTCATGATCCCGGGGTCCTGGGATCCAGCCCTGCATCGGTCTCCCTGCTCCACGGGAAGCCTGCTTCTCCCTCTCCCACTCCCCCTGCTTGTGTTTCCTCTCCCGCTGTGTCTCTGTCAAATAAATAAATAAAATCTTTTAAAAAATAAATAAGAGGGGGCTAGAGTATGTAGCATTTCCCAAACATTTTTGTATTTGGGACCTTGTGTTCACCTAGCATCTTTAGATACCACTGCATTTTGGGAAATGTATTCCTGGATTGACCATGGGTGAGACCTGCCAGGAAAGATAGGAGAAGCAGAGAAAACAATACTTCTAGGCCAACATCCCTACTCAACACTGTGGGTTTTTTCCTTTCTTACCATGATCTCATTAGAGCCTCGTGATAACTTTGGGGGGGAGTTCAGGAAGCAAAGGAGAGAAAGAATTCTGTGTAGTGAGCACCTGCTGTATGCCAGATAGTTAGCAAGGCACTGTAGGTCTGCCTTCTCGCTCAAAATGCAACACAGCCCTGGGAGGTGGAGATTGTTAATCCCACTTCACAGATGATGAAAGTAAGGCTCAGAGAGGTTAGCACACTTGTCAAGGTCTCAAAGCCTATAAGATGAAGATAGCTAACATTCATTAAATACTCACTACACGTCAGGTACTGTGCTGGGCATTTATCTTGTGTTAACTTCATTCATCCTCATAGTAGTTCTGTGATTATTATGAGGAGGTTGAGCCACAGGGAACTTTAGGAACTTGCCCAGGATCATCCAGCCAGGAAGCAGCAGATGCAGAATTCATACCTGGGCAACGGGACCCCCAGAGCCCTTCCCTAGAGAATCAGTTCTCCCCATTGCTCAGAAATCTCCTCTGTAGTCCTCCCCCAAAGCATGTTCATCTCACCTCAGGTGCCGGAACACAGCCTGGTTTTAGGGAGTAGGGTTGGGAGCCAGGGATCTACCTCTGCCACCCTCTGCCTGGCTGCAGCTTCTACATATCACCCCAGGCCTCCTTTCCTCCCATTCCAGACTGGCAGCCATCGCTCTGCTGGTCCTGGAGGAGGAGGAGAGCGCCTTCTGGTGTCTGGTGGCTATTGTGGAGACCATCATGCCGGCTGATTACTACAGCAAGACGCTGATGTCATCCCAGGTGAGCAGGGCAGGGACGGACGGGACTTAGGGGCCATGCAGGGTGGTGCCCCTTGAGTGGTTCCTTCAAGCCAGTGAATCTCAGAAGAATCAGGAAGCTCTCAGGCCTCCATTTCTCCCTCTGTACAAGGGGCCAGTAACCTCTCCCTGGGACTCCTGGGAAGTTCTGGTGAGCTGATGGCCTTTAGAGGTGTGGGGGCCCGGCCCATGGGGTAGATTGTTGTTATTCCAGTGGTGACACTATGTCATGAGAAATGGTGGTGGGGGGGTGTTGTTCGTTTGTTTGGTTTTGGTCTTGTTCTTTTCAGAAATGGTTTCTTGGGGAGGGAAGGAGAAGAAAATCTAGAATCTCTTGCTTTTTGCCAGTAAAGAATTTCAAAACAGAGGTCAGGTGGGTGGAAGTGGGACTCAGCGTGGGAGGTGGGGACGAGTCTTCACACACGCTGGTCACGGCCTCCGGAGAAGCACAGCTGCCTGCACTCTTAGCGCCTCGCCCCCTCTCACTCTGAGCCCCGGCCAGCCCTGGAGTCAGGCACAGCTAGGTCCAGAGCCCACCCCTCCCCCAGCCAGCTGCATGGCTTTGTGGCATCCCCTCTCTGAACCTTTGGTTGTCTGCTTTGGGATGGGAGTACTTCTTCTTGGGCTTGATGACCGATGTACACGAAAAACCATTTCTGACCTCCCATCTCCTCTCTTGCTTCACCCCTCATCCGGCTCCTGGTGCATCCGTGCTGTCTGCTTTATGCAGAGAGGCCATCTGGAGGGGACTTTCTCACTTCCCACCCCAGACCTGCCAAGTCATTTCCTGCCCACCCACCCTGTTCCTCTCCTTTCCTATCATGAATGCCCAACACTGATTCCTCCTGTGGGACACCCACCTGGGCGGGGAGGTCAGCAGACAAGTGGGTGTCCCATGTGAAGGAGGGAGGTCAGGGCCAGAGATCGAGACTGAGGAGTCAGGGAATAGGTGATGAATCAGGAAGGGCGGCCCAACCTCACAGTGGCTCAAGGGGCGGCTCATTTTTCCCAGAGAATGACAAAGCTGAAGTCCCCTTCAGCTCTCTGCTCTGCCATCCCTCACATATTGCTGTCAGCCCCCTGCTCTTGGTCACAGGACAGCCGAACCACCTCCGGCACTGTGGCCGTGGTCGAGGCTGGAAACAGCAGAGGGTGTAAGGCAGGGGCTGGCTCCGCCTCCCACAGCTCTCCCACCCAGCAGGTGCTGCTTACACCTTATTGGTCAGAACTGTGTCACATGGCACCCCTCACTGCAGGGCAGGCTGGGAAATGTTCCATATTTTATTGTCATGCTTTAACATCTCCTAAACTGAGGTGTGTTGTAAAACCAGTGTATTGTTCTGGGGTTGTTGGAGGTTTTTCTCCTCAGTTTTAATATAGAAAATTTTGAATGTCCAAAAAAGAGAGAAAATAGTATATGAACCTCCATGTATCTATCACCTAGTTTGAATTATCAACACAGGTACCCAACTGCTGTTCCATCTCTATCCCACCCACTCCTCCTGCTTTGGCGATCTTGAAGTAAATCCCAGACATCATGTCAGTAAATCTGTGAATCCTTCAGCAGGTTCGGTAACATCTCAGGCTCAGTGAATTACCCTCAGTCTTGAGCTGGAGGCACTGAGCATCTTTTATGTCAGGTCCAAAGTGGATGTAGAGAAGTGGCCATGGTGTCGGCCGATACAAGTCTGAACTCCTGCTTGGCTTCGGGTTCAGGAGGCCAAATGGGCCAAAACACCACTGGCTAAGAACTTAGCCTACAGAGGCCTCCGCACCAGAGCCCAGTGCTCCAGCCCAGAAGACAGCTGGCCTGTGCTGTCTCCTGGCCATGGGAGGCTTCAGCTCCTCCAGGCACTGCGTGCTCCCCGGGGCCAGGAGTGGGGGGGTTGGGGGGGGGCGATTCGGGACGGGCTGGGTGGGAAGGGCAGGCAGGGAGGGAGGCAGCCCCTTCTTTAGGGTGGTGGCTGACAAGCCCTCTCTCCCTGGCTCCCAGGTGGACCAGCGGGTGCTCCAGGACCTCCTCTTGGAGAAGCTGCCCAGGTTGATGGCTCACCTGGGGCAGCACCATGTGGATCTCTCCTTCATCACCTTCAACTGGTTCCTCGTGGTCTTTGCGGACAGTCTCATCAGCAACATCCTTCTCCGGGTCTGGGACGCCTTCCTCTATGAGGGTACCAAGGTAGGGCACCGCCAGGGGTGAGCAGGACAGTCCTGAGCAAGGCCCTGCAGCCCTCTGGGTCTCACTTCTGCCCCTGGAGAATGGGAAGACAGTGCTCCCCCGTCAGGGCTTTGAGGACCTCTTGTGGGAGCATGGCTTTGTAAACTAAAGTGCTTTGCACAGGTTAAGGAGAAGGGGTGGTTCTGCCTCTGAAGATGTGTCTTAAAGTTGGGGGGATTTCCTTTCCCTAGGGAAGAGGCATGACCGTGATCCGGGAAGCCCATCCCTATTCCCTCCGCTGCCCATCCAGTCACCTGGGCCCCTCCTTCTCTTCCTCCTGTTTGGACTGAGCCCCATATTGGGAGGCCGGCACATGGGTGTGTGGTCCCCCTTTGCCCCTTGCCTTTCTAGGAGACCCTGGGCAGACTTCCCTGTGACCTCTGCCCCAGTTTCCCCATGCTGGTTGATAACGTACCACAGTTTGCAGAGCACCTTCGGATCTGTTATTCCGTTTGATTCCTGCTGATGCCTTATGTAAACAGTATTACCCTCATTAGGTCCAACACGGTAGCACCTCACCCAGGGCCCCGGGACAAGTGAGGACAGAGCCAGGACTCAGTCCCCATGCCCAGGTTCCACACTGTGCTCCCTCCCCCTGGGGTTTCCCCGTCTGCCTCTGCCCCTCGGCCTCCCCACACTCAAGCTGTCAACCTCTGCAGCCTGTCCGGGAGGCAGCAGGGAGTCCAACACCAAACCTGCCGAAGGATTCACAGATTTACTGACGTGCTGTCTGGGATTTATTTCAAGATCACCAAAGCAGGAGGAGTGGGTGGGATAGAGATGGAACAGCAGTTGGGTGCCTGTGGGGGTTTTCCTTCCCCTAGGGATTACCTGCCCCGGCCCCCCATGCCCCACCTGAGCCCCCACTTTGCCCCCCAGGTGGTATTCCGCTATGCCTTGGCCATTTTCAAGTACAACGAGGAGGCGATCCTGAGACTGCAGGATGGCCTGGAGATCTACCAGTACCTGCGCTTCTTCACCAAGACCATTTGCAACAGCCAGTGAGAACCCACTTCTGCCCCTACCCTGCCTGGCCAGCACTCCCACCACCCACACATGCCCCAGGACACATAGCAGAGGGTAGGCAGGTGTTTGCTGAGTGGAGATTTGTTAGTGATGCTGATCCTCCTTTATAGCTTAGAAATCTTTAGGAATATTCCACTGCCCCAGTGGTCTGTCTGCCCCTTACCGTGGTATTCAAGGCCCCTATGCAATTTTGTTTCTTTCCCACCTTTTCCTGCCCCTAACACCCATGCCCTGTCATCCTGCCAAATAATTATTTGAGTTCCTAGCTCAACACCAACCTCTGGGATTTTGGCCTTGCAGTTTCTTCTACTTAGAATGCCTCCCTGTCACCTCCACCACTGCCATCTTTGCCTGGCCAACCCTACTCATTCTTCAAAACTCTGCTCACATGTCACCTCTTCCAAGAAGCCTTCCATGATAAACCTTTCCTACAGAGTTAGAGCTCCCATAGCCCTAAGCTTCTTCCTGCCTCAGTATACATCACTTTGGGTGGAAGTTGTCTTCTTATTCACTGTTTCCTTCCTGGAAGGTGAACTGCCCATGGGCAGGGGCCAGGGCCTCAGCCACATGGACAGAATGAATGGCAGGGTGCCCTGGAAGGCCCAGTGAATGTAGACCCAGCGGGGCCCTGGCTTTGGGCTAACTGTGCTCTCCCCCCAGGAAGCTGATGAACATCGCCTTCAACGACATGAACCCCTTCCCTATGAAGCAGCTGCAGCAGTTGCGGATGGCCCACCGGGAGCGGCTGCAGGCTGAGCTGCACGAGCTGGAGCAGCTGAAGGCTGAGTACTTGGAGACTCGGAACTCCCAAGGCCCAGCGGTGCCAGAGGGTTGCACCAGTGAGGACGAGGGGGAGGGGGACGCCTGACTTGGCCACCTGCCCTCCCCAAAGCTCTTTCTCCCCTTTGGCTGTCAGGCCTCTGGGAGGATGGCCGTGGAACGGTGGTCCAGCCCGTGAGCCACAGCACCGCGTGTCGCTGGGCAAGTCCCTTCCCCTCTCTGGGCCTCAGTCTCCCCATCAGAACATTGTCTGCTGTGAAGCTCTTGGTTGGGACTCATGAGCACATACCCAGGGATGCCACCCCTTTCTCACTTCTCCCACAGAGCACTTCAGCAAACAGACAAGCAAGAATGCTGACTTATTGGGTAACCTGAACATTCTTTAAGTTTTATCTGTATAAAACAATGTAAATATTGGAAATAGTTGACAAGCTTTGGAACTTGAATGATTCCCAGTAACCAACTGCTCCTGGGTCAGCCCAGGACTCCAGGGTGTCCCACCACTAGGGCCTTCCCAGCCTGGGACATCCCTGGGTTCTGCTTCTGTGGGCGTCTCTGCAGGGCCTGCCGCCCTCCTGGTTTCCCGAGGAGCGAGGGCCCTGTGCATTTGGGGTGTGTCTTCCTGGGCCACAGCGCCTCTCCAGTGCTGGTTCTGCTTCTGTCCCAGGCCCAGCTCCCCTCTACTGAGGCCTGTTTCCTGAGCCTTGCACCTATGCCCACCTTTCCATTCACAGCCCGTTTGGGGGGAAGGGGTTCCGAGGAAAACCCCTGCCCACACCAAGAGAGCCCTGGGTCAGGCGCCCAACGCCTCATCTCGCTCTGCCAGCCTCATGGGCCCAGGCAAGAAGAGTCCCCTCCTGTCTGAAAAATGGGTGGCTGGAGGGTGAGGAAAAGGTGGTGAGAGGGACGTAACTACTGCCTGTCGCCAAGTCAGGGCTGGCTCTTCTGGCACCCACTGTGCGCAGGAGCTCAGTTTCAGTTCTTCTGGGCTCTTCCGGGCCCTTCCTCAGCAGTCAGAGACCCCCGCCCCCGCTCCCCCCCATGCAGGGGGTCAAGGCTACATAAGTGATTTTGGTCGCTCATTTCTCAGCGAACCCTTGACTGTGTTGGTACAGGCTCGCGCTGGGTAGTCTTTGGTAGGCAGGACTAGGGGTGCAGGCTTCAGGCACGGAGACTTCCCTCTCTGATCTGAGGTTCCCGTCCAGGGCTGGGAAGGAGGCCACATCTGCCACTGGGAAGTGGCCTGCTCGCCCACGAGTGTAAACTTGGAGGGGTTGACACCCAGGCACCCAGTTCCCCGACACTGTGCCCCCTACACAGCTCTGGGGAAGAGACGTTCAGAGTTCTTTCCTCCCACGTGACAGGGGCTGCTGGCTGGCCCCAGGGCCCCGGGTCTGCCGTGAGCACCCCACATAGGGTCTTGACGACCTTCCTCATTTTTGCCAAACTTTTACATCTGCTGAAATCCTTTCACCACTAAATGGCATCTGTGAGGCATGATGGCGGCCTGCAGGGGTCCTAGCTGCACCCCCAGCAGGCTGGGTTCTGCACCCCTAAAGGCATCATTGGGGAGACAAGGGGGCCAGCCTCCTGGAGCTCCCAGGAGGGCTAAAGGACATGACGCTGGTGCCTGGCACAAAGTAAAGCACCACCACTGGCAGGGAGTGGCCTTTATATGGAGAAAAGTCACCCAGAGGGCTTCGAAAAGGCCCAAGGCTCCAGGAAAGATGACGGAGCTGGACCTTCAGCTCCAGCCTTGAAATTCAAATTCCCTCCTCAGCAAAAAATGAACAATCCCAGATCAGACAGAGGCTGTCAAGATAAATGACACCCCCCTCTCCCTTCTTCCCTTCCTATCTCTCCCCTGCTTCCTCCCTCTCCTTCCTCCTTCTCCTTCCTCCCTCTCCTTCCTCCCCTCCTCCTTCCTCTCTCTCCTTCCTCCCTCTCCTCCCTCCCTCTCCTTCCTCCCTCTCCTCCTTCCTCCCTCTCCTTCCTGCCTCTCCTTCCTCCCTCTCCTTCCTCCCTCTCCTTCCTCCCTCTCCT